AACCATTATGGCAAGTTCTTCTAAGGTGCTTCCCCACAGTGCTCAGAGGTGGCTCCAGCAGTTGCATCCTCACAAAGCACCCAGCAGCAGCATGGCCCAGGCAAACTTGTGGTGCAAGTGAACACCTTTTTGTCAGCCACCGAGCAAGTAAGATACCAAAGTTTGCGCTATGAAGTCACCTATTTTTATATCTTTGTCTCCAGTGTGTGTTGTGTGAAAACGGTTCAGGAAAAGGAATGCCCAAGCTGCCTGTGTACAGCTCTAGCTGGTTTTACTCAGGGCGTTTTACTGACCCCCAGCTGTGCTAGGGTGGCTGTACTGTCTCCAAACCCAATCTGTCCCTCAATGTGTCACAGTGATTTTTGCTCAGCATGACTTTAGGCCCAAAACACCTTGCTAGACCAAACATCAGCCTTCCTTACAGGAAGACCTCTAGTTTGTTTGCTTTACTAGCTGACCCACATATGTGCTAATGGGTGACAGCCTTCACAAGGGCCCAAATAAAACTTTCAGTTTAGATCTATTCTTAGTTTAGATGAAAAAAAAAAAAATGTCAGCAACAGAATTTTCATGGAAGTGTATCTTGGCAAACAATACCTGATTGTTTTTTTCCCTCTCTTATACATATAGTGGTGTATAAGGGCTAGACTGAGGGTGTGATTCCTTGTGGATTGAGACTAAAAACATGGGTAGTTGAGGTAGGTTTGATGACTTTCAAAACACATATCTATATACAAATTATGGGCTTGCCATGGCAATTTTATATGACAAACTACTGCTGTAACACAAGGGTCAGGAACAGAGAAAGTCATGGGTCAGAAAAATAAAACACTGATTAAACTATTCTTATCAGTGGTAACTTTAGTTACAATCTATGTTTTAAAATCCATCAAATAATATTTAATTGATAACTGAATCCTACTTTAAAAAGCTAGTTCAGTTTGTTTCTTCATCACTGGCCTTCTGATTTTACAAAGACAGCAGGAACAGTTTCCTTTCTCAAATTAATTATATTTTTTCCCCTAAAAGCTGGTTTAATAGAGCACACGACCTTCCAAAATTTCCAGTAACAGACCACTAGCGCTTCAGCAGGGGCTTTAGGGAAGGCATAATTTTTTATCTTTCCTTGTCCATAAAGGGGATTTACCTGTGTATGACAGACACTGTGCAAAAAAATTGTGTGAATACACAGTCATGGGTTTATTTAGGACCAGTGGCTGCATGGTGAAAGTCTAACAATATGACATGACTGGGCCAAATTAATGATATACCTTACTGAGAAGAAGACACCTCTATCTCTGCCTTTAAAGGAAAGTCTTAAACTGCGTACCTTTTTTATCCCTGCAAAATGAAAGGAGTGAAAAGCTGGTAAGGAGGAACAGGGGAGAAATGTAATTTAGTGAGTAGTACATGTTAGACAACATACTGTCCATGGCAGATTCCATTATATACTCAGAGTTTCTAAGAAGTTTTTCACTCAGCACCTGTAAAAACTACTCCCTCTAGATGTCTTCTGGATTTCTAGAAAATGAGAGAAAGAGAACTCATAAATTAGATTTTACAAAGATCATATCTCAGAATTCCTAGATTGGGATTTTTCATAGGAAACTTAAATAGATACATAAGTATGCAGTCTATTCAATGCTTGATTTGATAGCGGTAACATTATTAATATTGTCAAATTGCTAATATTATTCAAATGATTTTGAATACTTCATGAGCAGAGTTCCATTTTTCTTCCATGCAGTGTCACTATTTCTTTGAGGAACATCAAAAAGAAGTGCTGTTTTTGTATCATCAGGTCAAAGGCAAAGCTGGAAACAGAATCCTGACTCCTAATTCTAGTCCAGCACCTGGTTTACCTAACACAGTCTAGAGCCAATGCAGCTGTAGTTTTGGTAATTAATTAATTCATTACCCAATCATTTTCTAACTTTTCATGCAACTAAAAACCCGAAACATTTAAGAAACCCAGACATCTGCTTTGCAAAGCTTCACATTTGCACTATTTTATATTTGGACCAGACCCTGCTCATCAAACATGCATGCATATCAATAGAAATGCTGCAAAAAGGATTTTACCTTTACTTTTACAGTTCCATGAAAGAAGAAACCACAACCCAGTATTTGCATTTCTCGAAGTGTATGTATGTGGCTTACTGGAAGCGTATCTCAACTCGAAGTACTAAAGCTGAGCTCCTGGGATTAAAATAGTAGAACAAGAGGTCCCAAGTCCTGTACTCTAAAAACAGTCCTTGAAACTCCCAAGGACTTCCTGATCACTTCTACAACAGTCCTTTTCATGTGTCATCTGTTATGCACAATTTACATGGGATGGAAGAATGCATTGGCTGTAAATTTTCAGGTGGCTGACATGTGCGTGTGTGTAGATATATGCTTACATATGTATAAAAAAACCCCTTAAAAGCCAGCTATGGAAATAATAACTTACAACTGGAAAGTCTGCAGATGTCTACAGACTTCTTCAAAAGTTCCCTGCCTTTGCTGTATTTAGTAATTTGAAATGTTTCAGGACATCAGAGCATCGAGTGTCACTCACATGTTAGAGCTGAGGAATCTGAAACAGAGTAAATAAAGTGCCAAAGTCTCTGCTATTCTGTAACCTTGTTTAGAAATACAAAGGGCAAACCATGACTCCCAGTGCTAACTATTATACCATCAAAAATGCAGGGCTTTGCAGAACATTGTGGGATGGAAGAAGAGTGTTTCAAGGCATTTAAGAGACCTATTTAATTTCCCATTTGTTCATTCACTTGTGTGTTGCTTTCACTCGATTTCTCTCTTCTTTCTTCTTTATCTCCTGCTAGCATGCCTTTCAAGTCACAGGCTCTTTCCCATCTTTCCTGACAAGCAAAGAGTGAGCAGAAAAGAAGAGAGAAGCTTCTGTCCATACTCAGCACATTTGTTTGAGGAATTAGATGATGCTGGGTTTTTGCTGCCTGTTCTGAACTTTGTAAAACTTACTATTTCAAAGGGCATGGTAGACAGCCAGACTGCAGTCCTCTGAAAGAAAAACAAAACAAAACAAAACAAAACCAGAAACCCAAAAAACTATTAGCTTTTCAATTTGTATTTTTACAGCCTTCTCCAGACATTTGTTTTCTTCTATCTTCTCTTTGCTATTCTTTAGCCTTAAAGGTAGATGTATGCCAAGTGATTATTCACTGTGTCTATACATAGCTGCAGCGTATATCTGTAGAACAAGGGAGAGTTTACAGACAGAAGAAACCTTAATCTTTTCCCAACCACTTGGCATGAAAACAAGGCTTTTAATATAGATTTACATCTGTTGATAATGTAATACGTAAGAAAAAAAAAATCTAATGGCAAAAGTTGAAAACTAGGGCTTGATCTTGCAGAATTTGTAATCCTAGCTATATAATTGAGTCCATATTGGGATGCGAACTTTAAATCATCAAGCAGGCTAAGTAGAAAAGTTGCAAGAATCTGAGAATATACTGGACTGAGAAAAGTGATTGGCTCAAACATGGTTCACTGAAGCAAGCACAAGTGTTTGCAACAGGGAGGGGACCCAAGTGGGCAATCCTGGGAGGTGATGAGGTGCTGTCAGGACATCTGTGCTACAGCTGGAAGTTGACTGCAGCAGGTACCATAACATGTGAACTCTAGTATAACTGGTGTGTGTACAACAGCTGTACTAGCTGCAGGTGTGATTCATCTCACCTGAATAATGTATTGAAAAGTTAAGCACCTAAGACCAGTAAGATGAATCACGCTCTAAAGTTGTTTATTATTATTGACTGGCATATGAGGTGACTTGAATGATTAACTTTTAGATGCCTAAATTAGATGAGATGAACTTCATCTTTGCTATACAAACCTGTGTGGGACTGCGGTACGTGCTCAGGTGGCAGATGCATATTGATGCCTCTGTGGCACTTGTTTCTTGCTCAGTAGATTAAAACTAGTGGTGATATATATTTTTATCTGCTGACATCGTACCTCCCTTGGATGTATAGACAAAGCTCGTAGGGCAGTTTGAACCCTAAACACTAACATTGCAAAACCGATGAAAGACCAGTAACACCAGGTTTTGCAACAATAACCCTGTGAAATTCAGTTGTGATACGAAGTGTTTATTTTAAAGGAATAACCTCCATAGGAGTTCATCTCTATGCTACAGCTTCTTGTTAGTGTGACAAACAGGAAGTGAAAATTATTACAAACTCACTGGCTGTTGTAATTTTTCTAGAGTCCAACGTACTAATCAATAATGGAAATATAGTTTTATGATTTTTTAAATTATTGCTTCATCTTTTCAGCTGTTGTTAGTGACACAGAAGAGCAAATGTCCTTTATAGCAAGGAGTGTGATATTGCTTCTGGGGCAATAATATGAAGAATAGAGGCACTAGAGAAGAGAGTGAGCTCATGTAAATGTGAACTTGATAGCACATGTCAACACTGTTTCATCAGAGAACTTTAATTTTTACATTGCTGAAATTAATGAAACGTTGGTTTGCCCAACCCCAAGTGCTCTGAACTCAAGCAGGTCTATCCCAATTCACCTGCGAACAAAGCCAGGGTTAAGGGAATGTTTAAAAGGATGAAATAGCAAAGGATAGATAGCTTAGTTCATTAAAACAAGATAGCTTCAGGGACTGTTTCTTTGTGGGTTTTTTTAATGGCTGGGCTTGATCTGAACCAAATCCAGAGTTAGAACCAGTTTCTTATGTGCCGGAGCCTCTTTAAGGACAACTAAGGCCATTTT